TAGATGCTGGGCAAAGATACTCATTTGAGACTATCATCCTAGATTGTAATTTCATGATTTATTAATGCTTTTGTGGGGAACTATGATTGTATTCATTTTCACCACTATGTCATATTCTGGTGTATCATAATTATCTATACACTTTAAGATCACGGCAACAAACATTAAGGATGAGCTTCTCTACGCTATACACATAAAAGTTATTGCTTAAAGCATGCACATCTTCAACTTTAATAAAATCACTGTACCAATTTATACTCACACCATAGAATATATGATTTTTTTCCCCATTCCTTTAACCCCACCAACAATTAGAGCTGTCAGATGTTTTGGTCAGGCCCATCACTTGAGTATCATCTCAATGTGATTTAACTTGGCATTTAGTAGATTATTCTATTTTTGTTTGGATATCTTCATTTGGGAAGTGCCTATGTCTTTACTATGCTTTTTTTTTCTTTGTCTGTGTAGTATATGCATGTTGCACATGAGGGGGGAGAGGTACTAGCCTGTGCATGTACATGAGGAGGCCAGAGGTAGATGTGGGATGTCTTCCACAATCACTCTCCACCATATTTTATAGAGACAGGGTCTATCACTGACCCAGAAGTTCATCATTTAGGACAGATTAGCAGGGCCAGTGAGCCCTTGAAATCCTCCTGTTTCTGTACCTCCCTCCCAGCCCCTAGCTTCCAGGCCTACAGCCTACAGGCACAAGGGTTCAACTTTTATGCTTTTTTTAAACCTTTACCAAGTCATTATACATTCTAAATGAGTCCTTTGTTAATTATTCAAGAAAAAAGTATCTTTTTTATTCTGGCTTACCATCAGTGAAAAATTGTTTGTTCTTCTATTTAAAAATATTATTTTTACTTTATGTCAAAATGTCCTTGGGCCTGTTAGCAACATACTCTGTTCCAAAAGCCGAAGATGTCAAAAGTATTTGGGAGCTTGTACCTAATCCTTAAAAGATTTTAGGTTTACCTGTTTGGGGGGGGGGGGGATGTTG